AGGAAAAAATTAGAGTATAAATGACCAGCATCGGCTTTGCCTCTGGGATGTGAAATTTCTCATCATAATAGGTGAACACAAATGAAAGGAGATGAGCTTACCTGCGACATAGACAACCAGACCGTACTTCTCTTCCAGGTCTGCGAGATATTGGGCGAGCTTCAGCTTGCCCATCCTGTTGAAGGCATGCTTGCCCAGGTGGTTGAGAATGGCGGCATGGTTCAGAGACGTGGCTCCGTTTGCAGGGCCAACCTGTGCGAGGGCGTTCATCAGGCGGTTCCCGAACTCGACAACTGGCACGCCCGCTGTCACGGGCAAGATGGCAACTGTGCGAAGGTTCATCGTCGACTTGCGCATCAACGTGCTCGGTCCGGCACCAGCATCCTTGTTGGCGAACTTGGCTGTGTCATCAATCACTGTCCTCATCCGGGACGCAATGATCTTGGAAATCTTGATGGTGATGTTTGGATGCTCCTGCGCCAGGCTGTTGAACAGGGTTCGGGGGAATTTCACCAGCTCCGTGTCTCGGATGGCGTGCAGAGTCCCAGGACGAGCAGTTTCCGTGAGCACCTCGAGCTCGCCAACACTATCTCCCTGTCCAAATTCAGCCCGGACAGTCACTCCGCCGCCCTTTCGATCTTGAACAAGACGAAGGCGGCCATTGAGGACGATGTAAATGGCTTCACTTTCGTCTCCTTCATGGAAGAGGACTTGTCCCGCATTGACTTGAACCCATTCCAGAGCAAAGTCGATATGCAGGATGAGACGTGGCAAAATGTTTGTCAGTCTCTTGGCCATCGTCAAAAGAACGATTGGATACCGATCCACGATTCGCTCCAGAGAAGCACGGGGGAGGAACCCAACATACACATCGGTCTTCGCAACGACATCGATGAAGGACCTGTATGAGGACACGCTTCCAATGTAGCCAGCCAGGCCACCGGGCTTGACGAGAGCAACGCTCCGACGGTGCTTTGCTGGAGCTTGATTCTGGCTTTCAACTCGGTCTCGTGCAGCCTCCGTCCTCGCTAGATTGGGGAATGATCCCATCTCGGATGGATCTGGCGACGAGGGGTCCGGCTGGAATGAGCCCATGCCGTTGGACTGCAAGATGTTGTGTGGGTCGTCATCACTGGTTGTACCAATATCCAAGAAACCATCAACAACATAGTAAAGGCCCGGATTTCTCTCCCCTTGCTCCACGAGAACGGAGCCTTTGGGGAAGAAGACAATTTCAACCTCGTCTCTCATGTCGTGAGCCAGGACTTGAGCGTTGACTGGCGCATGAAGAGCCATCCCGCTAGATGTCACCGACTCGGTTTCCCCGTCCGCAGAACCATCATAAGGGCCCATGAATCCAAAGGCATTGTTGTGAGAGTACAAGTTCTTTGATCGGCGTTGGTCCAGCGAGACAAGCCTGGGAGAGCCCTCCATCGATTCCGGTTCTCGAGATCCACTTCCGTTTGAGCCCAAACCAAGCGTCTTGAACATGCACTCCAGAATAGAAGCTCGGAAGAGATTGTCCTCGTCAACTGACTCTCGCGGATCAATAGTCATGCGAGCATGTCTTCTCGAGTCAAACGGATCATTGAAGAATCGGTCATCCAAGGGGTTGGTCCCTTGCCGTCTCATTGTCGCACCCGAAACTGATCGCTGATCAGGAGGGAAACGGCCGCCACCACGGGCGAGTTGAATATTCGCCAATAGGTCACCAGGACTCGGTGTATGGGGTGAAGCCCGTTCACGAAGCGGGACAATGTTACTAGCAATGACCGAAGCCGGTCGTTGCTTCGTCATCGACTGTAGTACAGCCTCCTTTCGAAGAGTCGTACTAGACCTTCGTCGGCGAGATGCACCAGAATTGTGTAGAGCGATGCCCTTGGTCTCCTCTCCCTCTCCTGTGCGTTCCCGTTCGCGATTGAATTTTTCCTTCAACCGTTCCAGAGCATCACCCCGCAAAATGTTGGGGAGCTGACACATTGTGTACTTGATCATGCTCTTCTCCGTCTGCAGCACTTCACTGGTGAGACCCAGGTAGTTGAAGGCTTGGGAGAGAGTGACTCTCTGGAATCTCGAGAGAATGACATGAACAATATGCGAAGTGGCCTTTGGGTAGATCTTGATAAGCCTCCGAAAAGCGCTTGCAGGAATAATCGCGATGGTTGTATCAACAGTCGCCCGAGCGATGATGTCTGGGTGAGCTGAGCTCGAGGTTGCCCTTGTAGGCATAGGTGGTCTTCCAGGAGGGGGAGTAGACCCGTCCAGAGACATGGGTGGTATTCTGGCGTTGACAATGTTGTCCAGGTTGGGAGTACCGCGCCCACTGTGCTTCTTTGCCTCGGGATCCATGTCATCCTCCTGAGGGGAGCTCGGCATGGAGATGTGGGCATCCGATGGGACACGAGACACATTCTCCTTCGAGAAGCTTGGGTGTCTCAGCCCACTGCTCTTTGCAGGATGCACATCGTCGTCGTCGTCATCGTTTGGACGTAGTCTAACATCCTCTGTGAACAGAGACATGATAGAGAAGAGCGATGACATTGGGGCACCATTGCGAACTTCTGTAAGAAGTTGGTAGGTCTGCTGACCAGGAGGGACATCATCTTCATCAGAAGAGTCTAGGTCAAGACGTCCTCTAGACGCGGCAGCTGCACGAGGACTTCGACCCGACTTGACAAAAATCTCAACCAGTCCGTCGACGACGATGCAGAAGCCCTTCTCCTCTTCCAGGTTGATGGTTTCGCCGGCAATGAGTTTCCTCGTTTGCATGCTCCTAGTCAACTCGTGGAAGACTGGTCGCTCAAGGTAACCAAAGATCTTGATGGCACTCAAGAACTCGTCTAAGTAATTGGCCAAACCCGACTTGGTGCCACCTTCGTGGGTATCCGGAAATAGGTCGATCTCTGGCTCCTTGCGTTGCGGCTCGGGAGGCAGACGCGAGTACATGTTGAGGATGCGATACCTGACGACCCAGCTCACCGCCGAGACGAGGCCCGCCATGATGAACATGCTGTTGGGATTAGCGACGTGCATCTTGAAGCGCGCAGTGCAACATACAGCGTAGTCGCGTTCATGGTGACTGTCCAGCTTGTAGAGAACAAGTGGTACAGGAAGGAAGGAAAATTAATCGTTGCGATCCGGATCACCCAGTAGAGGATGGTCGAGACGATGTGGAAGATGGACCAGATCAGCCATCCAAAGAGGCCTAGCCAACTGTAGGACTCATGGGCGGCTGCGGCGGGCATAGCGCTCACAGCAGAGGGCGCAGAGCTGCCGAGGGCGTTGGAGACGCTCTCCGAGACGAGGCCGGCCACGCGGGCGGCATTTGACGGATCAGATGCCATGGCTGAAGATGAGTCTGCTGCGCATCATAGTGTAGCATCCTGGAGAGAGCCGTGTAGGCGGAGAGGAGGGGCGGAAGAGAAGGGGGGGAGGGAGATTGGAGAGGCGAAGAGGTTTTATTATGAACAAGGGAAAAATCAGTGGCTGCTGTCTCAGAGCGCAGCTTTTTTAGCTTGTGATTCCAGTGGAGCAGAGTGCGGAGCTCCAGGGGAAGCTCGACGGCCGAGGTTTGACCGGCCACCCCACTGGGCCACTGAATTTGCCCATGTGCCGCCTGGAGGGGCTGCTGTGCCGTCATTCTCGATTCTTTTTTAGCTGCGTTGCGATACTACACCACGTTTTCTTGAAGATCGAGCTGTTTGAGTTGGACTAGCTGATACAAGCGGTGATAGTCTGTTTGCTTGTTCCAGCTTATCTTTTTTCTGTAACGGCGTCTCGCTTGACCATGTGCTCTTGATCCCGATATCCCCGCGACAACTTTCCAGATGCCCTTTGCGCAACTCGTCCTCGGTAGCCCCGGCTCTGGAAAGAGTACCTACTGCGATGGCAGTGAGTTGGACCTAATATCAAGCCTCTATATATTGTGCTAATCAATACAAGTGCACCAGTTTCTTGGCGCCATTGGGCGTGCGTGCTCCGTTGTGAACCTCGATCCGGCCAACGACCATACCAACTACCCTGCGGCGCTTGATATTCGCAATCTGATTAAGCTCGAAGAGATTATGAAGGATGATAAACTTGGACCTAACGGCGGTATCCTGTATGCTCTAGAGGAACTGGAACATAATTTTGAGTGGCTAGAAGAAGGATTGAAGGAGTTGGGCGAGGACTATATTCTATTCGACTGCCCAGGACAGGTGGAACTCTATACGCACCACAACTCGTTGCGCAACATCTTCTACAAGCTCCAGAAGATTGGCTTCAGAGTTGGTTTCCCCTACTGCTCCTAAACATCTCCAGCTAACAGTCTATAGCTCGTCTCTGTCCACCTCTCTGATTCCTTCTGCCTAACGCAACCCTCGCTATACGTCTCCAACGTCCTCCTCTCTTTGCGAGCCATGATCCAGATGGACATGCCACACGTCAACATCCTCTCCAAGATCGACAAAGTCTCCGAATACGAGGATCTACCCTTCAACCTCGATTACTATACCGACGTCGACGACCTAACATATCTGACACCCCATCTCGAGGCTGAATCCCCAGCGCTAAGAAGCGAAAAGTTTGGCAAGCTCAACGAGGCGATCGGGAATCTGATTGAGAGCTATGGCCTCGTGCGGTACGAAGTGTTGGCCGTCGAGAACAAGAAGAGCATGATGCATATTCTCCGAGTTATTGATCGTGCTGGTGGATATGTCTTTGGTGGTGCTGAAGGTGCCAACGATACTGTCTGGGCGGTTGCAATGAGGAACGAGACGTCCATGCTGGAGGTGCAGGATATCCAGGAGCGCTGGATCGATCAAAAGGTGGAATATGACCGGATGGAGCGCGAGGCTGAAGAAGAGCAGGCTCGCATCCAGGAGGAACAGGCCATGGAGATTGAACAATCCATGCCACCGCCTCAAGCAGGCACCTTTGACCCTGACTTTGGGGACATGTCGGTGCCGGCAGACAGTGGGATCAAGGTAGTTAGGAAGAAATAAAGAAATGATACCCGTTCAACCATCTGCGTCGTCCATGGACTCGTCGCCAGAGTCGTCAGTGATGTCGAGGACCATTTCTTCTTGGCTCTCAAGCGCGCTGGTTAGGGAACTTTTTGTGCCGGGTTCCTCTTTTGCCGCGAGAATGAGCTTCTTTGCTTGGCGAATGGCTTCTTCCTCAGCCTTGCGGATGGTTCCACTGACTCGTACGACGCGAAATATGCATGGTCTGCCGTCCCTGACAGGGACGTGATCCATAAAGGTCAAGGCAGACCAGAGCATCTGGTAGTGGGCTCTCGAGCATCTGAGGATAAAGGTAGATGTAGCCAGAGACAGATATTTCACTTGGGTACACATGAGCATAACACGCCAATTTGGACATCTTGAATATCATATCTCACCTGAAATATTGCCCAATGCTCCAGATCCATAGTCGCCAAACAACGACGCGATCTCAGTCCTAATCCCCTTGAGCAAAGCCTGAGGCGTGAGTTTCTCAATGGTAGGCTGATGCCGCACCACGAGATCCGGAAGATTAGGTTTCGCAGGATCAGGCGCGTATATGATGTTGACAAGAAGATATCGTTCTTTTATGCGCACCATGGTTGCTGAGGCGCGTCGAGCTGTGATGAAGTTGGAGGTTGAAGACTGAGAATCTTTGAGATCCAATCCGTGCTAAGCTGGCTTCGGTGGTGGATCCACTTATCCCGGGCCAGTGGGGCCGCTCAGCCAGATTGGGGGAGCTTCCCCCGCCATCCATCTTGATCATGGCCGATCAAGTCATCACTCGCAACCTTTCATCTCAGGCATTTTTGATCATTTGAAGATATATACGCATTGCTAAGAGGAAGTTGTACTTTGGTACCTCAACTGCCGTCATCATGGCTTCTGGTCCCCTAAAGGCCGCCATCCTCATCGTCTCAACCACGGCGGCCCTGGATCCATCCACAGACGCTTCAGGCCCGATCCTCAGCCAGGTCTTAAAAGATGAGGGTGAGGGGAAGTGGGAGGTTCACGAGACTGCAATTGTCACGGATGATATTCGGGCGATTCAGTCTCGGATAATGGCCTGGACGGATGGGCCAGACGCTATCAACCTCGTCATCACTACGGGTGGGACGGGCTTTGCAACGGGGGATGGCACTCCAGAGGTAAGACTCTACAGCTTTTAAGAGAGTTTGTATGCTCATACTTTGGATAGGCAGTTACGCCCTTGCTGCACAAGCAAGCTCCAGGTCTAGTCCACGGAATGTTGGCTGCATCTCTTGCCGTGACGCCCTGTAAGTTGAATGCTGAATCTCATATTCTAATTCGAAACTGATCAAGCTTTAGTTGCAATGATGTCACGCCCAGTGGCTGGCGTCCGTAACCAGACCATCATTGTCACCTTACCTGGCTCTCCCAAGGGTGCCAGGGAGAATCTCCAGGCCATCGTCAAGACTCTTCCTCATGCTTGCCTCCAGGCGTCAGGGGCCAACTCGAGATCTCTCCATGCTGGGGGAGTTAAGAAACTAGAGTCAGATGCAGGTTTATCAGGTGGAAAGCCCCAACCTGCTGCCAGCCACAGTCACGGATGCCATCACCACGGCCATGGTCATGGGCACGGTCATGGTCACGGAAACCTCGTCAGACACACAAAACCAGAGTCTGCTCTGTCGAATGACCCTACCCTGGGCCCGTCACGTCGATATCGAGAATCTCCCTATCGTATGCTCCCAGTGGACGAAGCTCTCGAGGTCATCTCAAAGAACACCCCTGAGCCAGAGATAATCACGGCACAAGTCGACCAGTCAGTCATCAACTCGGTCCTGGCTGAGGATGTGAAAGCAAAGGAGAATGTTCCTGGTTTCCGCGCCAGCATCGTGGATGGCTACGCCGTCGTAGCCCCTAAAGATGGCGAACTCAAAGGCGTCTTCCCCGTCACAGCAGTATCTCATGCTGCCCCCGGAGAAGTCGGTGTTCTCAAGGAAGGCGAACTTGCCAGAATCACCACTGGAGCACCTTTACCCCCTGGCGCTACTACTGTCATCATGGTGGAAGATACGATCCTCAAGACAATGTCAGAGGACGGCAAGGAGGAGAAAGAGGTCGAGATACAGGTCGAAGGCATCAAAGAGGGAGAAAATGTCCGCGAAGTCGGCAGTGACGTCAAAGAGGGTACCGTCATCCTCAACAAGGGCGAGACTATCAGCGGTGTTGGCGGTGAGATTGGTCTCCTTGCCTCTGTAGGTGTGTCAGAGGCCAAGGTCTATCGCCGACCTGTGGTGGGTGTCTTGTCGACGGGTGATGAGATTGTTGAGTACAACCGTCCAGGGGAGTTGAAGCTTGGCGAAGTCCGCGACACGAACCGCATAACCCTCATGTCCGCCGTGAAGGAATGGGGATTCGATGTCATAGACCTTGGCATCGCCAGAGATAAGTCTGGATCTCTGGAGGAGACGCTCCGCGATGGCCTCCGACGAGCAGACATGCTTATCACAACTGGCGGCGTCTCCATGGGCGAGCTTGATCTTCTCAAGCCCACGATTGAGCGTGCTCTCGGCGGCACGATTCACTTCGGACGCGTGGCTATGAAGCCAGGCAAGCCAACAACATTTGCCACGGTTCCGGTCAAGGACAATACAGGCCAACGCGTGTCCAAGGTCATCTTCTCACTCCCTGGCAACCCGGCCTCGGCCCTCGTCACTTTCCACCTTTTTGTACTACCATCTCTTCACAAGCTATCTGGTGTTTCACCAGTCGGTCTTCCAAAGGTCCCTGCCATTGTCTCCCATGACTTCCCGCTTGATCCTCGACCAGAGTATCACCGAGCAGTTGTGACGGTAGGCAGAGATGGTCTCCTCTCAGCGACCAGCACCGGCGGCCAGCGTAGCTCCAAGGTTGGCAGCCTGAGATCAGCCAACGCTCTGGTTTGTCTGCCAAGCGGAAAGGGAACGCTTGAAAAGGGGTCTAAGGTGGATGTGCTACTGCTCAACTCCGTCCACGGGGCGTAGAAAGCAACGCTTTGCGGCGATAAGCCGGTGAAATCAACTATCCAATGTCATGAGAACTTGTAATTGATCAGATCAAAGCATCTAAGGCATAATTGCCTGAACAAGGCCCTAATTTTGTATAACTTGAGAAATCCCACCTCGTGATGTACACTTCCGCCTCCAAGGGTACAGATACTGGTACAGCCAAAATACGTCCACCCGAGCCAATCTTCCAAACGCCAGACCAAATATTATTGGCGCAATGCATGCATGCGCTCCATCTCTTGCTGGAACACGAAAAATCGATTGCCGGCTGCGAGCGCCGCCGGACTTTGTCCATGTCTAGTTAGGTAGGGGAGAGGTTGTGTAATTGTTTAGTTGGCCTTGCCGAAGGGGTACGCCTTTCCGGAAACCAGGAGACCGATGATGAGACCAAACAGGCCGAGCACTGAGGAGAAAATCTCGATGACTAGGATCTTGACGAAGCTGAAACTTGTTAGTAGGGGGCGGTATTTTGAAACTGGGAAACATACAGCGAGGGGTCGGCAGCATCAGCAAGAGCAGCACCGCTACCGTTGATACCAACGGCAACACCGCACACGAGGTTGCACATGCCGACTGTCAGGCCGGACCAGAACAGGGCATATCCGGTGTAGTATGAGTTGGCAGAGTAAAGCTCGGCGCCCGAGACAGCCTCGACCTTGGCGGAGAAGACGATGGCCATGATGACGCCGTAGATGGCGACGACTTCGCAAAAGATGATGGAGATCAAGTTCTTGGTTCGGATGCGCGGCGCCTTGACACCTCCGCCGAGAATCGATGATCCTGTAATGAAAATGCCCCTATAGCTTGTTAGAGCGACTCCTCCTTGTATCTATGTTGATGATGATGTACGCACCATGCGGCGCCGACGACAGACAGGCCGATGCAGAGACAGATACCCAGACTGGCCCAGGCATAAGGCGAAACGGACTCGAGGAACGCGCCGACATCGAAGGACTCGCCGCTACCGGTGAAGAGCATGTCTAGACACGGGAACCAATGGGTCAGCTTTCATTTGATCTCGATAGTATCCTATCCCTAGAGGGTCCGCGTACACAATCCGACGACGGTCACAAAGGACCCAATGCCGCCCAATCCATAGTAGAGACTCATCGCGGCGGACTCTTTGCTGTTGTTTCGACGGATCCGATGATTTTCGTTGGCGATGGGCGGGCGTCGGGGCGGTCGAAGGTGGCTTTTTTCGAGCTTGAGCTCCTGTAAGAGGTACCTTGAGCTTGCTTGGGGATCCAGTCCGCGATGGCGAGGCGATGCGTGTCCCAGCAGGCAGCTGGAATTAAACGGGACCGACGTCACATGATGCGAGGCTGACGGCTTAGTCATGCGCCTCGCTCACACCCCCCTCTCGAGATATAGGCAGACGGACCAAGCCTTAGGAACTCGTCCTTTGCATAAACAATCGACGAAATTACCTTTTACGCCCACGACCGAATTCACGCTCCGAAAGACGATTATACAAGATGGCTACAGGCGCGCAATCATTCTATGAGCTGTACCGTCGAAGCAGGTACGGCGCCAAGTTGCCATGCGCTGCTTTGCGACAGCTAGACTAACTTGCCTTGCAGCATCGGCCTCGCTTTGACCGACACGCTCGACGACCTCATCAGCGATGAGCGCATCAACCCTCAGCTAGCCATGAAGATCCTGGGCAACTTTGACCAGGCCATCACGGAAGCGCTCCAGAAGAACGTCAAGGCGCGACTCCAGTTTAAGGTGGGTTAGCGACAATAGCAGTGTTCGCAGAGCAAGACTAACGAGCGCGCGCAGGGGAGCCTCGACACGTACCGATTCTGCGACGAAGTCTGGACATTCCTCATCAAGAATGTCACATTCAAGATGGACACTGGAGGTCAAGCCGTCACCGCCAACAAGGTCAAGATTGTTAGTTGCAACGCCAAGAAGCCTGAGGGTACATGATCGGACAAGGCGTGACGGAACGACGAAGACACACACACACCGGCTATAGATTGGGAAAAAGACACCTTGCCGAGAATTGTTTTGTTTGCATTGGGCGGCGTACGGGAAAGGTGGTTATCATTACTCTTTTTACTACACAGAGATACAGGATATGAGGGTATGGTTCAAGCTAGGCAACCTCTTTTTAAAGTGACGACGAACCTCTTATTTATTTGGGCAAAGGGACTAAGATGGACTTTGCACAGCTTGTATTGAAAAATTGAAAAACCTTGCTTTGATTCTTCAACGGCTTTTTTACTTGTGACATGACGCAACTGTTGACCTTTCCCCAGATTCTCGTTCATGATGAGGCTGGCGCCAAACCCGACCGCTCAACAAGGGGGGGCAGCCACAGCGGTCTCCCCCACTAAATCCACAGGGGGCTCTCCCTCACTCAAGGGCGCCTATTAGAAGTCAAGTCTCATCAGGGGGGCTATGCTATCCATCCTCATACATCCGAAGCCTCCGACATCTATTCAACCATGCTCCGCAAACGCCAGAAACCAGCTACTACAGCCTCAGAGACGGCTTCTAAAGAAAGTCCTCCAGGAGACGAGATGACTTTAGCCAGCGGGTGGATGTTCTTTGCTGTTGCGAGCGGTGCTTGTGCTGCTTTCAATGGCGTCTTTGCCAAGCTGTATGTGTACAACTGGCTTATTTGATGTTCCTGGTTGGACATTGAGTTGGTATTTATGGACTATGCTGAGCAGGACTCTAGGACAACCACGGAGCTTACCACTACCTTGTCCAACTGGATTGCTCAACTCGTTGGTCTTTCTTCTGTTGAGCATATTGTTGAATATGTCGTTCGAGGTGTAAGTTACTGTCTCCCCATCTTGATGAGCCTTTGTACTGATAATTGTAGCTCTTCTTCGCACTCAACCTCACCTTCAACGGCGTAGTAAGTTACCCTTCTAGCTTCATGAAACCTAACTTACACATTGTAGATGTGGACGCTCTTCACAAAGGCACTTGCCCGTGGCACATCCACCACGCAGGTCTCCATCATGAACACTTCGACCAACTTCATGGTCACGGCCCTTCTCGGTGCCCTCATCTTCTCAGAGGCTTTGCCCCCTCTGTGGTGGGCTGGTGCTGCTCTTCTCGTCGCCGGCAATGTCATCGTGGGTAGAAAGGACGGGGCCAAGGATGCTGCTGCTGAGGGACCTGCGTATGCTCCTGTTCCAGAGGAAGAGGATGGCAGGAAGAATGATGACGAGGATATCATTGACCTGGGCAGGCTATCTGATGAAAGGTCACGATAGATGGTTCACTATTCACTCAAGGACCGAGTTGGCCAACTGTAACAGTATGTATGCACAAGTCGTCGAGATGACGCTCAGTAGATTCAAAGTAACAGATCAAACATCCTTCCAACGCCAGCGCATCACCCGCGCTTCCGTCTACTATACTACATGACCCAGATTCAATAACTCGTACTACCGTCGGCTCTCCAGCTCAACACCCTCATCACCAACCTCTTCATCTCCGTCCAAGATCTGCCCACTACCTCTTGCAACCGGACGATCTTCGTCCAGTGAGCTGAGGCGGATCCTCCCGCCAGAGAACTTGGAAACCTTGCCGGAAACCCAGTTACCCGCTCGCCGCAGCAGGTTCCAGAGCTGTTCCTGTCCTTCGTTGATGCGGTGGTCATCCTTGGGGTTCTCGGCTGCTTCAACCTTGAATTGGTATCGGAGACAGTCCTTGACGGTTACAAGGCCGGTGAGTTGGCCGTGGTACTCAATGAGGATGACTCGAGGGCCGATCTTGCGGAAGAGCTCCATGACGGTTTCGAGGGGAAGTCTTGGATGAGCTGTAACTGGTGTCGAGTCCACGTAGCGGCTGAAATCCAGCGTCGAGGATGTAGAAGAATCGCCGTTCATGGTTCCTACTGATACTGACGACATTGAGTGGTTTATAGCTGACGGCGCAAAAACGCACTTGGCAGTCTCGGACAACGGGCTCACTCGACTCATTCTGTCGATGGCATACCGCAGCTCAGTGCTGCCGATATATCCAACGAGGACTTTGCTGTTGTTGTCCTCCACAACAGGAAAGCCCTGATATCGATCATCTGCAAGTCGCCGCTGAACCTCTCCTAGAGTAAGTCCGTGAACCGGCATAGAAACAACAGAAGTTCTCATAACCTGAGAAACAGGAACACCAAAATTGTGTTCCTCCTTGTTGTCTAGGAAAGGAAACCCGCTGAACCAAATCATGCGATCAGCAATTCCTCCCTTGCCAAAAAGCTCGCTGACAGCCTTGGTGACGCCGACAACAATCATGGTGGGCAGGATGTAGTTTAGAGCACCCGTCAGCTCAAACATGATGACAACGACCGATACGGTAATGTGCATGATGCCACTGAGCGCGGCTGCAGCTCCAAGCAGGGCGTATGTACCCGGGGTAATGCAAGGCTCATCGGGCTTGCATGCGGAGAAAAAGACGCTGGTAGGGTTCGCTTCGTAGAAGAGCTGGACGATTATGCCCACAGTTCTTCCAAATGATGCACCGATCGCCATCGAAGGCACAAAGATTCCAGCAGGGACCTTGCATCCATAAGACAGGATGACGAGAAAGACTCGCAGGATAGTAGCGAGGATCAAAGATACCATGTTCCAGTATCGTCTATCAGGGTCACAAAGCCCATGATACGTCTCGGTCTGCCCACACTCAGAAAAGAGAATCTCCATGCTCTCCGTCATGTCGATCCTTAAGAAAGCGTTGGGATACGCAATAATGGCAGTACCTGCTGCCAAGAGGGTGGCTTCGAGAACAGCATACTCCTTCAAGTACTTCTTGCGGAACGACTGAACCCTCAGATTCCACTTGATCACAAAGGCTCCGTAGAGACCTCCGAAGATGCCGATCAAGACGTAAAAGACCAGCTCGAAAAAGTGCCAGTCGTTTTTGTACTCGACTTGGAACATGACCAGCTGTCCTGTTCTGAAAGGGTTCATGGCGGCGAGGACGGCTGTCGCAACCAGAGCGCAGAAGTAGCTACGCCATAACGTCTTGAGTGGAAAGTGATTCGACATCTCCTCGAGTGAGAAGAGCACGCCTCCGATAGGACTGCCAAAAGCAACAGCAACACCCGCAGCGGCAGAAGCACTCAGAAACTCCCTCGTCTTGGAGGCGTTTCGCTTATACTTGTCGAACAACCTGGAGATGACATTTCCAGTGCACACAGCATAGTGCACACTGGGACCCTCCTTACCGACTGACAAGCCGGACGCGATAGCCAGGGGTAGGCAGATGGACTTGATGATCAGAGTCCACCAACCGAGGAAACCCTTCATGACGAACCCGGCAATGATGCACTTGATCTCGGAAATTCCAGAGCCAGCTGCGTAGGGCGCAAAGGACTTGACCAATGTACCTGCGACAAAGGCGAAGAAGGTCTAGCAAGGTCAGATATGAAAGTCTAAGGGGGGACGCTGAGCCTACTCCAAAGACAAAGTAGAGGAAATAGTTGAGCGGCTCAAAACCAGTCCACCTGTGCCATTGCTCACAACCTATCGCGCTGTTAGTATCAGACAATCTCTCCGGCCAACGCAGACTCACCATTCTCCTCTCCCCAACAACAAAAGTTCTCGTTCAGGTAGAAGCCCGTCTCGCAGTATCCCATCTTGACGTCCGAGAGCCACTCGGTAATGATGTTGAGCAGTGCCGCATTCAGGCCAATCGCCACACCAATGATGGTGACCACGATCCAGGCCTGCGCCGCATCATAGCTCTTCCAGAGCTGATATCGCCAACCCGGCTGGCCTTTGTCGTACAGGCCAACAGCTTGTTTCCTCCTCGACTTGCGCTTTGCCTGTTCTCGCGCAGCATCCTGTACCCAATCTATCGGTCCATATCAGTACTCGGTCCGGGGCTCGTTTCGCGATTCGCATACCTATCGTGGTAAAGTCCTATACAAGTTAATACAGGGTCACCAGTCCACCTGCGCATGGAGCTTACTTCATATCTCTTAATCTCGGCAATCTCCTCCTCTATCAATGCCGCACCCGTAGGGGCCGCGCCTCCAAAATCGCCATTCTCAGCATTGGAAAAGGCCGAGGACAGACGAGAGACGACCGAGGGACGCCTCTCCAACCCAGCAGAAGGAGGCGCCAGGCTGAAGGATGATGCTCGCACGTTCATGGCTTCGGCGAAGGGATCATGGTGTCTAGAGAAGCGGTTTCGAGCTCGCGCCGGGTGAACGAGGGTATCGGGTCGCGGAAATACGTTGGACGAGAGCGAGGCTGGCTTCTCTCATGGATTCGAGTCTACGTTGTAGGTTGAGTGTCGTAATGCGCCAGCGCCAGCATGTGGTCTGAAGGCTGAGACGTGGCTGGGATTGGACGCTTCAGCCACAGCGTAGGTCGCGTTTAGTGCTTGCAGCATCGCGTTCGCTTCCGCGACTTGACCCCGAGCTTCTGAGAGTAACTTCAACTTTATCCAGGATAAGGATTCGGCATTTCATGCAGTTTTCTTACGACCTCAAGCTTTTTCATAATCTTCTCAGTTTTAATTCTGCAGAGATATTGCAATATTGTGATCGAGACTTGACAGGTACCCAAGTGCAAGATAGGCCCTGATAGTCCGCTCAAGTTTGAGCAGACAAGGTACGTCTCGCAATACAGGCTTCGGTCTTTTCGATTACTTTTCTCATTCCGTCTTTGTCATTCATGCTGTGTGCATTTATTTACCTGTCTTTCCCGATCACGGGTTTACACCTTGATCTCACCCTCTCAACCCCCTACCAAGTTCTTCCTCAGTCATCTCAGGGCATCACTAACTCTCCCAGTCTCATTACTCTCTCCTCATCCAGATTCCTCTTCAAACATGCCCTACAATACCACAGCCATCCCTCCTCGAAAGGAGCCGACAGGTCAGACCCAACTACCACGTAAGTTTCATCCCCCATCCTTCACCAGCCACAACTGACATGGCCACAGTGTCGAGGGTAAAGAAGATAATTGCCCAAGACCCCGACATTGGCATTTGCTCCAACAATGCTGCTTTTGTGATAACCCTCGCTGCTGTGCGTTTCACTTACTCCAGCTGGTGCTCGTCTCACTGTTGATAGGAAATGTTTGTTCAACATCTCGCCGAGGAATCACACACTCAGGCAAAGCTTGATCGGAAGCCCCGTCGAAACATTCAATACAAGGACGTTGGTAAGCCGCCTCTACCTTTCCTATACAGTTCGCATAGCTAACACCCCCAGCAAACGCCGTCTCACACCAGGACAACCTCGAGTTCCTCGAAGACATCGTCCCCAAGACAGTCACCTACAAGAACATCAAGGCCGCCTCCAAAGCGACACAGGCCCGTCTGCGCGGTGAGAATGTCGCCCAGGCCCCTATCGCCAACGGCGCCAGCAAGACCCTCGTCAACGGTACTGGTCGTCCGCGCGCCGACTCGAAGCAGGGCGATCCAAACGAGCAGCTCGAGCTTGAGATGAGACAGGCGGCCGGGGCGAACCGTGACGGCGACGTGACCATGTCTGGATAGTTCCGGACGGTCATGGACTTGAGTGAAGCATGCAAGTCGTAGCTTTGATATCACGTCATGTACACTAGAGGAGCAAAAGAAGTTGATAATACAGCCTCAAACACCGATGTTGCAACAGCTATTGAAAGCCTGGCTCATGTAATTCCATTGCCTTTTTTCCATGTCCCTTCCCCCAGAAACCATGCGGCCGTGGTATATCACTCTTCCATGGCATCTCCATGGATGCCAGAGGGCAGACGTCCCTCGTTCAACTCCTTCTCCAGCGCGATAATCTCCTGCAGGCTTGTGGCCTTCTTGATACGCTCCTGTAATCTCTTCTTCTCGGCGTCGGTGAGCTTTATCCGCGATAGCTTAGACGGGGCTTCTGAGCCATCGGCCGAGGTAGTGAAGTTGGTGGTCTTGATTCCCATGATCTATGTCCGTCGTTAGTATTCAATTCGTAGGACGGCAATGTTGGTTGCGTACCTTTGAAGCCAGAGCGGTGGGCTCTTCCTCAGTTCCAAACAGCTCCCGCGCCTTCTCCCGTTCCGCCTCCTTGACCTTTTCGTGATCCAGGAATCGCACCGAGGGGCATCTCCAGAGCACCCAGTATCGGTAGTTCTACTACACGTCAGTACGCGCCAGCCATACCAACAATGTACCAAACTCACCTCCTTCTTGGAAGCTGGGTTGTCTACTAGCACAAGGTGCGTCAGGCGCGGGAATCCAGCCAGCGCATCCAGGTCCGCAAGCTCGGCGATGTTATTCGAGGACAGCACCAGGTTCTTGAGGTTGGGAATGGCCTTTGCGAGGGAAGGCTGAATGCTCGAGACGCGGTTCCTTGCGAGGAGGAGAGTCGTTATACGGGGCGACAGGGGAAAGTTTCCCAAGACTTGAATGTCATTGTCGGTGAAGTCGATGGCGTCGTGAGGCTAGCACGGTCAGCTCTACACCAAGTGTTGGAGAGTGGAAAACACGTACGCCAGCGACACCCAGGTTCTCAATCGCGGGGATCCGGTGTCCTGTTCACGCCGCAAAGACGAATGTATCAACTCTGCGCTCCTGGGATCAAAAGTGTAGCATCTGCCCTTTTCAAAAACGCACCTCGAAGATCAAGCTCCCGCTCCTTGAGAGGGTTGAGATAGGATAGGGAATCCCGGATCAGGTCGGCCGTCAGCCGCATCTTGGGTCTATTTGTTTACCTCGGGTTCAATTTTATGGTCTTTCGTCTTCCGGGGAGGGGTTGTGGTTGCGCGCTGGAGGGTTTTGGTGGGTGGGTTGTTTTGTTGGATGGCGAGGCTGATGATCTTGACGAGGCGGAGGGGAAATTTTGGTGTCGCATATGTGGCTTGACATGGGCGCCACAACACCATACAGCCACTCATCCTCAACCACCCAAGGAAGATCATGATAGGAGATGAGAACACAACAGTCCAGATACATTTTAATCTTGTTACATTTCCAATATTCACTCATGTCACCAAGGCAGGTCAGCCCAGAGTAGTAAACATCAACTTGATTAATCAGTCACCTGTGTATATCTATCCAGTAACGCAATACGCCGTAATCACACTGTCCTCGACCTCGGTTTGCCTATAAACTCCGACCCAACAACCCTCATCGCGTCCCAATTCTACTGAAACACATACACTACACCCATCCTATCCACCGAGACGCTCATGGTGTTGGGGTGCTCCAACAACGCCACGTCTAGGATAGAATCCATGTGAGACTGCAGCAACTGCTGTTGCTGGAGAGAAATGACCGTTGACCGTGGTTGCCGCCCGCTTGATGACTTTGTCTTGGAGCCCGAGCCCGCATTGGGAGCTGTTGGGGCATGTCTGGGGAAACGCTCAATGTTTAGCGTCAGCGCAGTGACTGGGTTGGACGTTGTGTAAGTCGGCTTCGGTGAGTCTGGTGAGAGTCCGCTGTAGATGAACGAACTCTCGATCCGCGAAAGATCCCAGAATCGCAAAACCTTGTCTGAGCCAGCCGTGATGATGAAGGCGTGTCTAACGTCTCTCGAGTCCTCTGCTGTTGCTGTTCCCACTATCATAGCTCGAACTCCTCGGTCTGCGTTTGCGAGCTCATTGTGTTCGATGTTGGTGGCATATCTCCCCAGCATGCCTTCCCGCTTGTCTTCATCGACATCCCACGCTTCGTAGGCCTTGAATCCGTCCTTGCTGCCTCCAGCTCGGTAGATCTCTCGGCAAACCGTCTTCTCTAAGTCCCAGACGGTGACTTCACCCTGGCCTGTTCCGCCAGAGATGCATATCCATTTGCCACGGCCCTTTGTGGGGTGGATGCAGATCCTGTAGATGGACCCCTTCCCTGGCAGCCCCCATCCCTTGAGTCTCATCTTGAAACGAAGATCCCAGAGATCTACCACTCCGTGCGAGGTCCCTACACAGAGCCAGTTTCGTTTCCGGTCGACGCAGAAGCAAGTAGGTGTGCCATGATGGACCGGGTTCTCGAGAACATACAACAAGTTCATCGTTCGGAGATCAATCCCCAAGATCCTTGACCGGTTGGTGGCGATAATGAGAACAGAGTTCGACTCTTGCCGGAAATGCTCGCACCATACCGCAAACTCATTTTCAGGGAGCTGATACTCGCGTAGAACACGCAGCTTTCCATACCTAATCACTCCGCTAGCAGGGAGCGTGTCCACCTTGACAACATGGACACTACCGTCAACCGCGCAACTCACGAAACAGTGTGAGTTCTCGATAAAGCAGAGTGCGACAACACTCGCGCCATCGCCATGCCTGTGTGTTTGCCGGGAGCGCTGGCTAATGTTTCGTTCGAGTCTCGCCGTATCCCACACCTTGACTGTACCATCATCACCGCCAGTGATGAAGAATACATGGTCAGGGGATGGCATCACTCTGTTGACGGGGCCCTTATGCTCGCCAAATGTTGCCACAAGCTGCCCTTCAGGTCTCCAGGGGTCTTCGCCATGGGCATTGCTAATGCGATTTGCCGCCTTGGTCCTCTTGATAGGCGTAACCATGGGTCCGAACTCGATGACATCGCGGGGAAGGTTCTCGACAAACATATTGTCGAGCATCCTTTGGATATTCGGATCGGTTCCTTCATAGCTGTGCTTCAATATTCTTGGGCGCGTACTCTCGCCCTCGTTCCCTTCAGACGGCGGCTTGCTCGGTGAAGCTTGAGCAAAGGGTCCTTCCACTTGACCAAATGCATTAGCATCCGTCATACCGGTTTGTGCAATGGACTTGTTCTTGTCCTTGCGATCAAGCAGGCTGAGTGCGCTCGGTTGATACCGAACAGCTCTTCTAGAAGGGTTAGACCCCCCTGCAACAGACGACTCATCGTCTCCTGCGCGAGTCGTTGACGATGTTCTGGAATGCATATGGCCAGTACTAGTTGGCGATAACAGCCGATGCGGTGAACGAGGTCCAACACTTTGCACCCGTCGATTAACTCTCTTCCGTCCTCCAAACGCATCATCAATCGTCATCGAGGCATCCAAAAGGGCATCGGCGATAGTGTAAGGTTCGGCCGGAATGTCGACGTCCACGATCGCCGCCGCATCTCGCAGAGGTGCATCATTAAAAAACACCGTCTGAGGAGTGATGCCCAGGGTCTTCAGGGAGACGACCCCTTGAGGTGTGACTCCGTCTGTAAGTGAGGCATCTCGAGCCTTCATCTTGCTCAGGCGCCAGATAAACTCTCTCAGGGCATCAAGCTTCAGCTCATCTTCGTGCTTTAGCCCCAGGTTTCTGAGTTTGGCAAGCCACTGTTCATCTTCGTCGTTGCGAGCCACTCTTCCAAGTGAGCTTTGCGACAAATCTCGAGACGATCGCCCTGATATTGATCCCCTGGATCCAAACAGCAACGGTCTGAGTTTCTGTAAAGGCTTCCAGTAGATACCGCGCTCCGTCTTCAGGGCCCATGTAATAGCCTGGTCGAAAACGTTTCGTGATAGGGGCCTCTTGAGTGCGTCGAGGAGGCTGAGTTCAGAAAAGTCTGTCAGAACCTCGACTTTCATGAATGGATGCACCAGAGGCATAATGTTTGATGTGACATCGGCGTCCGTCAGGAACTTTGCAGCCATTGACAGGAACTCTGTCGCTGACTCCCGAATCCAAATGTTTGGGTGCATGGTGAATCGACTAATGAGGTCTACCAGCTCGGTGATCTTGGGCCTCGACAAAAGACCAAGACCGGCAAGTTGAGCAAGCGAGTGAAGAGCTGCTTGCACTACATATTCCTCGGGATCAGTCAAGGCTTGGATCATCAACGGCAGCATAAACTCCTCTAGACTCGTGCTGCCGATAAAGATTGCGATGCCGACTATTGTATCAAAGAAGGCGCATTTCAAAGTCCAGTCACGGTCATTCAAGTAGGTGTTTAGATGGGTGAGGAGCACATCGTTGGATTGGTCGTCAAAGAACAAGCATAGCTCGGGTACTGACGCCAGGAATGCTCGGCGAACAGAGATATCCGAGTCCTCAACGAGTTGCTTAGTGTGACTTTCCAGAAGCTCAAACAGCTGCCGGCCAGCATTGTCAAAGACGCTTTCAAAGTTGGCCTTGGCATCCACTCCAGGCTCAACTTCAGGGTCAGCAATGGGCATTGAACCATCAGGCCGAAGACTTGATGCCATATCGAGGAACCTCTGGGCGGTAATCGCAAGGCTACCCAAGCAAGAGGCGTAGGTCGCCCTGACCAGAGGACTGGATGCTCTTAATCTGGTTCCTAGGGCGATCTCCATCCTCGGCAGCACGTACTCAACCAAAACATGGGAGTTAATAGGCGTAACCATCTGGACCAGCTGCAAGAGCTGTGTAATGGTCCGGATAGCAGCAATTAGAACCAGATCCGTCTCATCTGGAACGAGAAGGGTCATTAGATAGGGCAGCACCCGATCCAATTTAGCTTCATCGGTGAGTCTCTCTGCAAAAGCTAAGAGAACATCGCATGCCCTGATTCTTGAAGAGGCCCGAGCCGTGTTTCTCAATTGGGACACAATGAGTGTCAAAAATATTAATGTCCCGTCATCTTCTGGTGGTTCCAGATCTGGCGAGACGGTGTGGTCGTGATTAGGTATGTTGAGCCTCACGGGGAAATGAGAGAGACTGAGTCTAGAGGTCGGCTGTAAGGCGTTTGAGGTGCGTTTCTCAGGCTGGTACCCAAGGAAATATGAGATTTTGTCAAAGTCGTAAAATACGCGGTCGATTCGATCATCGGCTTCTCCAAGGTTCTTCTGCGCACCAGACATGGGGCTGTTGCCCGATGAAGGGTCGGTAATGAGCTCCATGTATTGGTGAAGGAAGTTGTAAAAGTAATGTGGAAAGACCTTGCCCTTCCAGAACTCCAGGTACTGCTCCGCAGAGTATCGCTTCTCGGGGTCCAGCTGGATCATATGCGCTATCATGTCGGCAACGTCCTTGTCTGAGATGACGCTCAAATGCGTGATGACAGGATCGTACTCTCCACGGCGGTACTTGTACAGCTGCGCCAGACTAAAGATCTCAGACTCGAGAAACATTTGGGCGATAACGCAGCCGGCGCTGAAAATGTCCATGGCCCAGGTCATCTTGGCCTTTCGCGGAGGCACCTCTCCCGCGGCGTAAAAACGCTCCGGGGCGACATAGCACGTACGGCGGCCCGATATATCAAAAAAGTATGAAAAGTCGGCTGGGTTGTCGTCCGGGAGCATGACAGGCTTGTAGGCGGACGAAAAGTCGGACAAGTACAACCAGTTCCAAGAGGTCACGAGGACATTCTGCGCCTTGATATCGCCGTGGTACACATCACGGGCGTGGGAGTCGCGCAGAGCGCAGAGAAGCTGGAAGGCCAACCACTTCTTCTCGATGTCCTCGAGGAACGGCCGAGTGCTAAGACGGTCGTACAGCGAGCTGTAGAGGAACTGGCGGACGAGGTAGCCGTTGGAGTCGGTCTCGATGATGCGCTGGAATCCAAGGGCGTTGGGCACATTCGCGAGTGCCTTGCTCTGCTCTGTGCACTGTCAGGGCAGGTTCATGAGGTATGCACGTGGACATGAAGCTTACCAATTATCTGTTTCTTGTACTCGTCCAGCTTGACCTCTGGGTAGGGCTTAACGAGGATCTTGACGAGAACTAGACCGTTCTCATGACGTCCTCGGATAGTCTTCATGAACCGAGCATTGCCGATGCTCTTCTCGTAGTGTACATCGCTCAGTTCCGAAGTGTCGATGCCTGCGGAGCCGACGGACGGCGTCGCGAGGGAGAAGCCTTGACCCATGGTTTTGGCGGGGGAGGAGGAAAGCTAGAGTTGTCGTGATAGCTATCGGAGGATGCGCGAAGCTGTCGTCATCTTGGACGAGGGGCTATGAGAAGAGTGCGCTATCGTTTCAAGTGGTCCGGTGTCGCAAGAGTCTCGAGTATTTCAGCGGTTGGCGGAGGAGGGAAGATGTTTAGTTGCTGTAGGTTCAAGATGGAGCTTTCCCCCAGAACGTCATCTGGTAATTGTGGTGGTGCCTGTGAATCGCGGCCAGTGATTGCATTCACGCGGTCAAGTTGTGGGGCACATGCAAGCAACAACCTTTTATTGGTGCAACACCCGCCTAAGCTTTAGCTCGTGAATCGGTACCACCTCGACGACTTCGTGTAAGTTGGCACGCGGGCAAAGAAATAAATGAGATGCGAGAGTATCAAGAGACCTAACGACGTCAGTAACCCCGATAATTAATTCATAAAAGATATAATGAGATAATATAATAATTAAAAGATTTTTATATATTTTTATTATAATTTATTAATTATGTTTAGAGAAGGGTAAGCAAATCTGTCTGTTGTATTGGTGTCTTGTTTTTGACCCATGTGGTTGGGTCTATATTTTTGAGCCTCACTCGTATCTGCCACGACTTTGGCCTCTTTCGAGTCGAAAGCATTTGTTTGTAACAATGCTATGCACTAAGAGCAGAATCTGCAGCTGTTGCTGGCCGCTACACATGTGGAGGACAGGCAGTGCCCAGCAGCTGCAAGACGGTGCTCACCACCGGCCTGCGTTTGTTACACGGCAAACACATATCTAGCAGGTCAATAAAATTCACGACTTTGTTTACTCAACCTTTTCATTCAAATTCACATTTACCTTTTCAAAATCCAAACTCTATCGCCATCAGCCGCCGTTGCCTTCTGCACGCCCACAACCATGGAAGACGACGACCTCGTCGAAATGGCAAATGGCGATCTAGAGTTCCTCCAGCTACTACGAGAGGCCATGCCACGGGAGGCTTCTATGAGCATCCAAGCCACCCAATGGACCATCGATCCCCAAGATTCATGCCCTCTCTTCGCACGCTTTCCCTTCGAGATTCGGCAGGAAATCTTCTCGTATGCTCTGTCAGAGCATGACAGCCACTTTGACATCCATGGCCAACCCCGAGTGGGTTTCCCGATTCCTGAGCCGAAATGGCTGGTGTGCGACTTGCCTGAGAACACCTCCAAGCCCATGCCCGAGCATAGCAGCCTGGAAAACATTGATCTCGACTACTATTCGCCGCGGGAGAAACCCATTAGGGAGCTTTTTCGCGAGTGCCCATTCTGGCTCCGTCCCGGCACATCGGCTACAAGGTTTCAGCATACCTCGATTTTGCGCACATGCCGACGCATATTTCTGGAAGCACGAGATCTCCTCATGAAGAACGCTACGCTTCGCATCTTCTATGACGCCGATCTTACCAATTTAAGGATCGATGCAAGACCGAGCGTGCACAGCAGGCAGCGGATGACGCGATATACCGCTAACCGATTGACATCGCTGGAGGTCTACTACAACCAAGATCTACTGGAAACTGATTTCCTCGAGAGATTCGACACAAACAAAAACCTACTTTGTGTAGAAGACCTTCGCATCACTCTCCGCAAGAACGACTGGCGTGATGGGTCAGAAACTTTTGGACTCCAGCTCACCCCCTATGGCGACGGCCGCGACGACGAAGATGATGACTGGCAATTAATGCAAGATCACATGGCGCTCGAAGAAGAGCACCGCCAGGGCCGAGCTCCTATCCCGCCCATTCCATACACAAGACGGGAGAGCAATAACGGAGAGTTAACCTGGGGCGAGTCGCTCAGCATGATACCCAACCTGAAGCGGTTCACCATGGACTTTGAGTACAGTGAGGATCAGTTTGAAAGACTCAAAGAGCTAGCCGAGTGGGCTCAGCGTGTCTGGATGTTCCGACTGGGCGGCAAGATGAAGGGTTACTATCTCAGCGCAAAGGATAACCCTGTCAAGGTGTACAGCTGGCGCGGGTTGACGCCACACATGGGAGCGACCATCATCTGTTTCGATGAAGACTGCCCACAGAAATCCCTGGATTCTGACCCTGACGACTCTGGTGACTCTGACGAAGACAGTTCAGAGATGTGCTGTATCGAAACCTACAAGCGCATGGGATACGGCTTTGGACCGAGGATGTACACCTTCACCGTGACGTGGACAGCGAGGAAGCTGAAGCCTGAAGACGGCGACGACCCTACGATCCTCGGGACCGATGAACTTCAGGCACAGTGGCTAGAGGTGTACCGTGATAGCCTGGCGCCGTGATTGCCAGGCGCCCTTTGAGAGTTGGGTTGCTTTCGATGTCCGGGGCTTATATTGTAGCGGCATTCCAGCCGCATTTCAGGACCATCGCCTTTTGCATCGCGAGTTATGAAACTAGGCGGCAATTCGGACAGGACGGGGCATCGTGAAAACCAAGGTCATGGAATTCTCATGCAGAGTCATGGAAGGGTCAGGGATAGAAGGGGGGAGGTTAGTGATACCCTCGAGTCGCATCAAGGGTTTGCCAAAGAACGGGCCTGTATCATAATGTCAGCATTCACATGTATAAAAGTGTACGAGATATGTAGATGGAACACAGGAACAATAGTGATGATAGTCGAGGCACATGATATCTCGTGCAACCTCTTTTCAGGTATTCCCATTTGTTCGTAACCGTGAACCTAAGATAAGATATATGGAAAAAAATAGAACATGATGTCCAAAGATCAACAACAAGACCCCGACCCCGAGAGCAGCATGCAACGACCCCACGCTATGAATGGTCTTTCTTTTTTAAGGCTCCAGAATGTTCAAAAAAGAGAGAGAAAGGGACAAAAAAGACAAAAAGTTTGACAATGAGGACAAGGTCATCCCGCGTGGATGCAATGCTCGCGCTTCGTAAATAGTAGATAGACAAGAGATGTGTGAAAGAAGGGGGTTTGGTTTTGGTGACAAAAATAATATCCAATCATTTCCCTCGAGTTTCTTCTTCTCCCAGTCCGTGACGCCGCCAGTGATTGATGAATGAATAGCAGAGCAGAGCAAAGGCTAACAAACAATATGATGGATGTGTGATGGATGTTGATGTTGCGGTAGGTATCAAGGAATATCCGTCACGGCGCTTCGATGGCTATCGCCCAAATACGCGGTTCGTGTCCATTCTATGGTCCACGGTTCCGCATCGCCCGGGTCGATCGATATTGTAGCTTGGGGATCTCCATGTCGATGCCCTCGTCGGCCTCCATGACATCTGGATCCACTGCTAGAGGTGCTGAGAGGTCCATTTGGGCTGGCTCGGCAGCTTCTATCTTGCCGGGCTCTTCCTTGGCGGGCTCCAGCTTGTTCTCCTCCTTGGTAGGTGTCGGGCTGCCCTCCTTGAGGCCAACGCTCATATCCCGGCGCATGCTGATGGGCCTTCTTGTGCGAACCTTGCCTATCTCACCCGTCTCTTTTGCTAGCTCAGGCTCCTCACGTTGCACACGCTCCATCTCCTTGTTGGCCATCTCCAGAACCTCGGCGAGTCGCTTCTGGACCTTGGAGATCTCGTCGTTGCAGTCTCCATCGCGGAGGAATTGATGGGCACCATGCTCGCACATGCTTTGCACAAACTCGAGGCCCTTATCCAGGTTGTCGTATACATCGGGTGGTCCACTGTTGGGACCGTTTCGGGATATTGACATGGGACCGAATCGTCTGCTGCTCATATATCGCAATGAAGGAAGATCGTCTTCACCATTGCTTCCATCCTCTGATACATCTTGCTCGGCGAGCTTCTTGATCTGGGCAACTCGGGCGGCCATCTTGGCCTTGCGCATCAGGTTTCGGCTTGACGAGACAAACCTCACAAGCTCGTCAAAGAACCCTTGTACATAGCTGTCATAAAAGACAATGATCAAGCTGCGTGTTCTATATGCTTGGGGAGCATCTTCGTTCGACATCATGGATGGTGACTTGGGCTTCTTCTTGACCTGAGCTCGTGCTCGGGCACGCGCCGCCTTGATGACTTCCTGCTGCTGTTGAATAGATTCGGGGCTCGGTGTATGTTTCGGTAGCTCCGCGTGAGTTTCTGAGGGCTGCTCCGCGTTGGGAGGGTCTTCGAGAATGGCATCTCCAGCGGGGGGTTCGGCGTGAACTACAGGAGGGTCATCCTTGGGCTTGAGGGACTCGGTCGATCCCTTGTTCCGAAGGGATTTGGTCTCTGCACTCTTGCCCTCGGCAGCGGCGACAGCGGCCAGCTCGGCCTGACGACGGTCGATCTGGCCGCTGAGGTTATCGAGGCGCTTGAGCCAGTCAGGCACGTTTGTCGAGAGGTTTTTCAGCGCATCCATGGCCATGTCGCGGAAGTCTGCTTCTCGCGGAGGAGCCGTGTTGGCTAATGAAAGGGGGCTAGGTGGTTATCACCCAACGCCCCAAATGTCGCACAAGGACCGACGGGACGGATAGAGTTGATGAGGGAAACTGCGGTGATGCAGTATCGCGTCGGAAGCAGTCGGACGAACGATGAGGAATTGGTGTGGTGAGTGGCGAATACTTGTCTGGAGATGGCGTCGTATCGTGTGGTGCGGCTGCGGTGCTGAGGGAGGTCCGTGTATGACAGCGGCAGGTATCAATGGATCAAATGTGTTGAAGCAATAAACATAATCATCCAAGAAGGATTGAATCAGGTTATGACGGAGACTCGTACGGTCTTTGTCTCGTGATGGTCGTTAACGGTCGTGGTCTTCGTTAGATGTACAGGTTTGCGGTGCTCAGGGATGAAATAGGTGTGAGTAGGGCGGAAGATGCGGATGTCGTTATGTAGGGCAACACGGCACGAGACAGAGTTTGGCGAGGATCTAGTCAAAAAGGCCGAGGATCGCGGGCCAAGGAGGAAGACTCGTGAGGTTGGTGTTGTTGTTGGTTGATGGTAATGGTAATGATGACCTTTTTCGGCGAGAATCGAGTTAGGTTGGGTTGGCTGATGGAAGGTTGATGGGTCCACTAAGAATGGATGGACGTAAGATGAGCCAACAGCCAGACACGGTAACAGTTGGTGAAAGCACGATCCAGCGGCTCCCGAGTCGTTCTATTCGTATTCGTCGTCGTCGTGTATTCGACCCAATTCCACTGTAACCAAGAATCTTGTTGACCTCGAAAGACTACTAGACTCTTGAAGGTCAGGTCGAGGCGAGGCGAGTGCTCCGGGGTGGTGCGGCGGGGAGAAGCTAGAGGGCGCGGAAGGCGGATTTGTGCTGGAACTCGTTATTTACGAGGCAGCTAACGATGACCCAGGTAGGCTAGGGCGCGGCTGGCAGCTATTGTCCGATGCTCCAGGGCCCTTTCTCCAGGGGGGTATCTCGGTCCAAGGAGGGGAGAAGGGGAAAGCCACAGTCCACTAACGACCGAGTGGTGGGCCTGATGAGTGGCGGGCTTTGGACTAGGTTGACGGGCTGGGCTGAGAGTTTGCTTTGCTTTGCTTGCCTTTGCGAGAGCGAGCTGGAACTGGACCCGAAGCGGCAGAGGAGAGTGAAAGTATGAGCCAGAGTTGGTCCAGTCAAGTCAGTTGACACCCCAGAAAGAAGCAAGCCAAAAAAGCCAAGAAGCCGAGATCCAACAAGAGATCGGCTGCTGGTGGCTATTAGCAACTGCTGATGGGAGGAAGAGGGTGATGGAGGTCTTGAGGTGAGGGGGAGGAAGGGAAAAAGAGAAGAGAGAAAAGAAAAGGGAAAGAGGAGAAAGTAGTATTAACCCAAAGACGAAGATGGGATCAGCAAAAGCAGCAGCAGAAGCGCAGCAACAGCAGCAGAAGCGCAGCAACAGCAGCAGCAGCAGCAGCAGCAGCATGCGGGCGATGGCGGGATGGCGAGAGATTTTATTAAATGCACACTGCCTGCACTCACTGCATCGCTGCACACCAGGTCAAAGGGGAAAACAGAGTAAAAGACAACCAGGGGTGCTGTTCTCCATCCAGAATCCTTGGGGGTGCGGCAAGATGGAAGGGGACCTTTCTCAGGCCGGGGTAAGGGGGGGCGTGAGCAGAGGAGGAGGAGGAGAACACAAGGGAATGGATCGCTCGCTCTCGTTCTCAGAGTAGGTACCTACAGTAAACAATGAGAGGGTACCCTCGACAGTAACAGCCAGCAGTAACAGTAACAGTAACAGCCGCCTTGGAACAAGTCCCGTCCTTAGGTACTTGACGGCGGGGGAAAGGTTAGGTTGCTACTGCATGGCATGGCATGGCATGGGCAGACAGTCAGAGAGGCATGGATGGATGGCGGCAGGGCAGGGCACAGCACAAGTTGGATGAGCACAGCACCAAAAAAAAAGACACTGAAGCAAGACACATGCCCAAAATATTACTTTGTTGAAGATGGCTTCATCCATCCTCGGCAAGCGGCCGAGCAACAACACACAGACACCACGGAAGATGCCATGCCATGCCATGCCATCACCAAACAGAAACTCTAGTCTACTCCGTAAAGAAGGCGACAGCAAGGGCCCATGCGATGTGATGCGGATGCACGACGATGCGATGAGATATGCCACGGGGGGGTCACGATGTGGGATGTGTGCGGGATGTGTGGGATGGACGGCGCGTGGATGGCGCACGCACAATGGGCTTTCTCCGTCCTGTCAAATGTGTACCTCCATCCAATCCATTGTACAGTAGTAGAAACGAGATAAAAAAGAGAAGGCCGCCGGGCGAGGCCATTCGAGATAACGGCGATCCAAACTTGTTCAATGTGATGGGAGTACCACCAGCCAAGGAAACATGATTATTGATTCATGTTGGTCACCTTTCCAATCACCTTCCATCCATGGATTGCCCATGAGACAATACCCAACTCATTCCCCATTCAGAGGAAACGCCCACGAAACACGCACGCCGCAGGTCATGAAAGCCCTGGGGGAGAAGAAACTCCCCAACAGGGCAGTCGCCGAGTGGGAAACAGGGCGTCTTGGGTTGATATCGATGGACATCTGCCCCTCCTCAACATGCATCAACATCTGCTGTTAGTACTGTGCTGTATATTTTGGTTTCCCCCATCCCAGGGCGTGCGTAACCACAAGCCAGCCAACGTACTCGGGAAAAAGAGAGAGAGAGAACGCAACAGCAGCAGCATCCAGCGGGGGAGGATGGATGGTGGAGCACGCCGCTGCACTGCACCGCACGGGAGAAAGGGGTGGCGGACGGCCCATGATGCCCTCTCTGGTCATGTCAAGCAAGGATTCGCTGCTTGCTTGCTGTTCGCTGTCTGCTGCTGCTGCTGCTGCTGTTGCTGCTGCTGGGGGAGGGACTGAGCGTGCACAAACCAACAAGAGGTCATCCATGAAGGGTGACATGGATGATGGGCTCTCGCTCGCGGCAGGACAGGGCAGGGTCCCTTTGCCCATCATCGGACATCAACATCCATCCGCCGTAGTCTTTTGACGATCATCCTCTCGCTCTCTCGTCGTCGCGCAACACAGGAATAGGGCACCACAAAGGGTCATATCTCCCTCGTCCAACATCGGGCCGCTGCCGCCGCTGCTCATGGCATTTTTTTGCCCTTTCTCCTCACCTCTCACGATAATCCGCAAGACATTCCCTCGTGCCGAACCGCTGGGACCTTTCTTCTCTCATCAAACCCCAGATGAGGAGATTCTTGCGCTCGTCAAACGCGAGACTCATCACATTGATGAAACTTTGATACCCTTTGTTGTTTGCATACCGGCTGAAAAAAAAAGAAAAAAAAAAGGTTCTCCCGTCTAAACAGAGTTTTCTACTATTCATGATTTCATGATTTGAGTGAGACACAAGATTCCAGATCTTTTTTGCCGTGTCGGATGTGTCACTTTTTTTTTTTTCCCTGCCCTTTCCTCAGATGGCTACTGTAGCGAGGCGATCAATGTCTGTGTCTTTTGCCAACTCATCACCAGAAAGTGGCGGCCAAAAAAAGAATGCAGCGTGCCATTGCCCCCAAACTCTCTTCTGAGGATCACACCTTTCGTTGGAACTCGTTCACCGGACTCTGACCTGACCTTGAACCTGGCCTGACCATGCCCTCTCTCTCACCTTGGGTCTCCAGATGGCGTAATAAGATGAGTTGAGAGTTGGGTTCGCACAAGGGAACCACCTGACCTTACTCCCTGCGAACGAGGTTCCCCAGGCACTTGCTTGGCTTTTTGACGTGTTGTGATGCCTCGACAATGAACGAACAGGCCCTTGCTGATGATCTTTTTTCTCTCCTCTTGTGTAATCATCCTTGGCCCCACGTCCCGTTGGCGTTGGCACTGTAGCGGCCGATGCGAGACGGAGGAGCCGACGGTTTGATCCATGCAGGGGCAGATGTTGACCATTCATTATCCATTCCACTCTTCTCCAACGATGCAATGCGATGATGATGGGGCGAATGCGATATTGCCCAGGCCCTTTTCTCCGTGTTCAGCCTGGAATAGAATAGCTTGGGCTATTGGTGTTGACTTTGTTGACCGCTGTACCCAACTGCAGGCAAGATGTACAGTACACCACACAGCGATCACTCGCCCTGCCGCACCCTGCCACAATCTCTCTTTTTTATCTCTCCGCTGAAACTACCTACCTAGGTAGGAAGGTACAGAGAGGGACCGAACGGCAAGAGTTTATCCTCTGCAACCTCCCACAGCAGGCTCGTCATCTGTACCACCACGGAAGAGCTCGTGAGCTACCAATTCGCTGCAATTCCCACATATGGCAGTCTCACAGCATGCGATGCTGTGCAACATGTTGTCTTCGGGAAGAACTCAGCCTTGTTTTTTTCTATTGTTACTGTGTATGAGTGAGTGAGAGACCGCTTTCTTCGCCTATTTTAGCCTTGGATCTTTGGTCTTCTGTGGCATGGCATCTGCATGCAAAATGTCATCAGCAGAGAGACAAGATAGACATCCATTGCCCCGTCGGTTGAACGACACTGTATCTGGTGAATGGCAAACACGGTATGCGTGCGTCTTGGGTTTGTTTCATGCGTTGACGCCCTTTGATGGCCCACTCTCTCGAGTTGAATTGCCTCAATGCTTCCAGCGTTGTTGTTTTTTTTCATCACAAGAAACCTGTCCAAGCGTATCTCTGTCAATTCCGCTCTCTCGTCTAGATGGAAGAGTTCCTGTTGGCTCTAATAAACTAAAAGGCCTAAAGAAGAGTTGGCTTGCGAGTTTAATGTCGACAAAGCATGTGCAGTGTGTCCCAAATTGGGAAATGCTGACCTCCGAACCCCCGGTCACTTTTCTTGGAGTGTGTGTGTGCGTGTGTGCGTGTGTGCGTATGTGTGTATGCAGCCAACATGCTTTTGAGGAGAACATCTCTCTGCAGGAGAGAGAGACGTCAAGTTGCGGGAGGTGTAAAGGAAGAGGCTGGGCGTTTTCGTCTACCCTCGTGTCCAACGGCCTGAAGAAAGAGAGTGAGGGAAAAAGGGGAGTGAGACATGGACCTTTGCAGGCCTGTCACTGTTGCATCCTTCATGATAACCTCGACCATCCATTTGTCAATTCATGAACCAAGACGCCATCTGCTCTCTCTCTCTTCTTCACCGTCTCTGCTGCTACTACTGCTGCTTAGTCCCCGTGTCTCCGAATCGACCGGTTGATCGCTTGCTTGTAAGCGCGCCGTTGTCCCTCCGGGGGTACTCCCACATACGGCCGACAACTCACTTCTGCGCCGGGAGCTAAGGAATCGTGAAGAAACCGTTTTTTTTTTTTTCTCTCTTCGTCTCCCCATCCCGCATACGCCTCCCGTCTCCATACATCGAGACGGTGTGTCATTGTTCGGCACTTGAAGAGGCAAAGACGCGCATGGTGCATCCCCCTAGCTAGCCCGTCTCGTCTCGTCTCCTCTTCGCTTCACGACAACTCGTCTTCCAAGTTCCGCTACCGCCGCCGCCGCCCGCCCAACAGGCGAACGT